TGTGTGTGTGTGCAAACGCCATGGTGGTTGACTGCCAGAAACCTGCTGGCGATGATGAGCTGGCCTGTTGTTTACAGGAGGAACATGTTCTGGGTCATTGTCACTTCTGAGAAGGCGCTGCATATTTGTTCAGACGTTGACTTGAAGGGCTTGAAGGGCTTGAATTAATCACACTGAATTAATCATTAATTCACCCCCCCCCGAGGTTGATTAAAGAAAATATGGAATTTATCACGAATAATGAATTAATCCGGACAGTTAATCACGGTTTGGAAACGTGAACAGTGATTAATTCCTCGCGAATTTCTGGAATTAATCATTCATCTGGGTATTGGAAACGTACCGTGTGTGTTTGTGCAAAAATGGAACTTCCTGGATTTGCTTGAAAACTTGGCAGCATGGTAAAAAGCATATTCTAAAAACGTCTGCATACTCAGTTTTCAGTAATTCTCAGGGGTTGTGTGATGCAGCTGCACAGCTGTTGCCTCATGCCCTAATATGCATGCCCTCTTGGAGGGCTCATACACTGTTGATCTGGAATTGCCTGAAACTTTGGCTGTTGGGCAAATGAGGTGTTTTAAAAACATCTGCATACTCACTTTTTTATAATTCAGAAAGATTCGGTGTTGCACCTGCAGGGTGGTTGCCTAATGCACACCCATGCATGCCCTCTTGGAGGGCTCATACACTGTTGATCTGGACTTGCCTAAAACTTTGGCGGGGAGGGGGGGGTAGATGAGGTATTTCAAAAACATGTGCATACTCGGTTTTTTTTGTAACCTGACCTCAAGTGATGCAGCTGCAGAGTTTTTGCTCAGTACGCATGGGAATGCATGCCCTCCTGAGAGGCTCATACACTGTGGTCTTGATTTACTTGACATTCTTGTGATCTAATTTAAGCTCATTCAATCAATTTTCCTGGGACTGTGTGCTTTGGGTTACCTGGGTTGATGTGAAAACACCTGTGAAGTCAAGTTTGGAAAATTCTCGAGGGTGGGAATGCTGCAGCTCAGGGCTTCTTTGCACGAAAAAAAAAAAAAAAAAAAGTGCTCACAAGAAAGACCAAAAAAATGTCTAAGTTTCAACCAAGCACAATCCAGCGAGTTCCTACAAGAAAGCAAAGGCGCATGCACAATGGGTCACCACAATGAAGGAAGCCATGCAAGTAATGAAGGAAAATGAAGGAAACATTTTAGGCGGGCTTCAACGGACCTCAAAAATGTTCCAACCTACATGTGCTGCACATCCAAATCAATCTTATTAAAGACATTGCTACGTACATCCCCCTTGATGCTCTGTACATGGCGGCGTGTGCTGTTTGCTTGGGCACACCCTGATTTGGTGGCGGACAACAGGTCGTCGTACTTGTTAAGCAACCAGAAATCACTTGATGTGGGCTGCTTCCTTTCAAAACAGACAACCGTTGCAATTGCTCCAACACCACCAACAAGGACATGCACCAACCTAGATCACACTGAACAATGAAACACACTGAATCATTCAGCTGCCAGTACAGGAGGTGGCACTCTTGCACGCCGACTGTCATCATCACCACTTGCGCGTAGACATCCGCTATCACTGTGACGCGCTTGTCCAAGTGATTAAACCTGGAACATGTGGGAGCACACAAGGTCAGCAGCAAGCACACAAATGCACACAGGGTGTGCATTAGGCAAACACCCTACAGCTGCAACACCGAACCTTTCTGAATTATGGAAAAGTGAGTATGCAGATGTTTTTAAAACACATCATTTGCCCAACAGCCAAAGTTTCAGGCAATTCCAGATCATCAGCGTATGAGCCCTCCAAGAGGGCATGCATACTGGGGCATGAGGCAACAGCTGTGCAGCTGCATCACACAACCCCTGAGAATTACTGAAAACTGAGTATGCAGATGTTTTTAGAATATGCTTTATACCATGCCAAGTTTTCAAGCAAACCCAGGAAGTTCCATTTTTGCACAAACACACACAGGAAAATCGCCAAGTGCTGAACCACCCCAGCGGGACGGGTGGGAATACGCTCTTGTGATATGATAATCAATTTGATGATTATTTAAATATTGCGTTTGTAACGTCTAAACATCGTGAGCCTTCAACTGGTACTTTTCCTTGTGTCCACATGAGCCGGCTGAGCAGTGGCAGGTCCTGAGAGGGGATATAAGGGAGCTTAACAAAACTAGAATTAGCTTCTAGGGTGCCCTGTGTGGCCTGCTCTGACTCAGTCTGTTTGGGCAGTTAAGACATCACGGGCTGCCATTTCAGGTCCCCTTAAGGATATACTAGCTTGGGGATTGACCCGGGACATCCGGCATCAGGGGGAAATTAGATTCTATTTCATATAAGTTTTATAGTCTGGGGTGGCTTGGGTGGCTCAAAGCTATATTGTTTTGAGTGTTGACTCTCTTAGAGTGCAGTGTTGACTGCCACGAACATAAAGGGACCACACCCAGGGAGGCTCCGCCCCAAAATAAACGGTAGGTATCATTGTCTTGGTTTTGAAGGGAACGATAGACATCCTCAGTACGAGCTTCAGGAAAGTAGAAAGAGCCTGATTTACTGAGAGGAACTTGGTGTGCAAGAAATCCAGAAAAAAAGCCGTTCAAACGTTCTTCTGAGGCAGCACATGAAGTTGTATAAGCACAGAAAATAGCTGTCTTTCATCTTATAAGCCCTCCAAGCTGCACAAATTACAATGGGTTGCATGTGCGTCCCAGTGACAGGTCTCGACTTTCAGAGTGTGCGCATGCAGCCGAAAACACGCAATGCTCCTCTGAACACGCATATTCAAGAAACAGATACCTAGGAGTATGGAAGGGTTTGCCATTGGCAGAAACTGGTCTGAAAGGAGGAGCCACAAGGGTTTACAAGGGTTTACAAGCATTAACCCAGCCCAGACCTTTGGCAGATCGGCTGCTGGAAAAGTTCACTAACTCTCAAGGATAACAAAAACACTAGCCAAGACAAACTGCCTTGGTGGAAGTGGTGGGAATGCCGTGCTATTTTTGTTCCGTTTTGTTGAAGTGATGTGCTTACATGGAAAAAAAAAAGTGTGTCTTTCTTCACTCATAGTGCTCATACTGCGTAGTCATGCTCGATCACTGTCATTTCACTTTTACTGTTCTGGAGGCAGGCATTACATGTTATCATGTGGAAGTGGACAAAGAACATCTGTCGCCGATGCAATAGCCGCGTAACATTACATGTCGCCATAGTTTAGTGGTTAGAATTCCTGCCTGTCACGCAGGGGGCTGGGGTTCGTTTCCCCGTGGTGGCGCCATGATCATGAAAGGTTTTAATGTCCAGAGTCAGCAAAAGCCATCTGACAAGGGACAGGTTCACTTGAGCTGATGGCTTGGGTTGCAGGTGGACTGACTCTGCTTGCGCTTCATGCTACTGCTCAGCTGTTTATGGTCTGGCTGCAAAGAGCTGGCTTGGCTGCAGCACTCAGAGAGTCCTCGGGGCAGACACAGCAGGTGTGGACCACCTTCACCAGGTCAGTGTTACATCAGGGACAGGGCACCACTGGCACGAGGCCATGGATAACAGAAATGGAGCCAAAAGAAAAAAAAGAAAAGAAAAGAAAAACTACGTCGGCAGAGAACCTCTCCCTACATCAATCAAGGAAAAGGAGACACATTGGCTCAAAAAAGAGCCCTGAGCCCTCTCCGCCACAAGGTATGAAAAAGAGAAAGCTAATGGGGATCTGGAGGGTTACTAGAAGCACCTGGCTCTAAAACCTGGCTGTGAGGAGTATTCTTGTTTTCATTAGGGCGGCGTGTGGACTCCGGAGATTAGTTTGTGGGCATATTCAACAGAATGGGCATGAAGTTGCTGAGCAAGCTTCGTGGCACGCTGGTGATCCAATCCTAGATGTTTGAATTGCTTCAGGGTATGCTCAATGTAAATCGTTCCACCTACCCCCAGGCAAATAGGGTGAATTGTAACAGCCAAACCTCAATGGAAGGTGCAACAGAGGGTTCATTCAGAGAGAGAACCCAACACAACAACCCCATGTAAATACAGGTCACACCTCACACACCCTCGTTTGTACCATGATTTAATGCCACAAATTTGATTTGAAAGCGTACAGTTCCCATATACAAATAGGCAAGGTCATGCTGGAGAAGCATAAAGTACATTTTGGCCTACACTCAAGGCACTCTGGAACCACATAGCCTGCGCTGGCAGGAACAGGCGGCTGCAAAACACACGACCATAAGCCAAATTGGTACAAGGCCCATGATAGAGCGCGTTTCATGACAGCACACCATGCTACCCAATAATGATATCAGCCGATTTGCTGGAATGTTCCCCATGCTGCCATACTATCAGATGGCCGTATACCTTGTGCCTTTTTCTCAAATCCACTACAAAATCTTGAATGACAAGAGGACGTCCTGTATGAACACAATCATTGCATGATGTGCAAACCAGGCACGCCGATCTCTCCAGTGTTTGCCTGACATTTCCAGAAAAAGACTACTAATATCATACTTGCTCTGAATACCTTGAGAAGAGCTGTGCTGTTGCATGAAAGTGAGGCATTTTAAAACCTAAAAGCTGCATGAAATAAAGGTTTACAGGTTTGTAATGAGGGGGACTCACGGCTCCTTATGAGCCAATGGGTCTTCTTTTCCTTAAATGCTGTAGGAAGAGTTTCTCTGCCATCGTAGTTTTTTTTTCTTTTCTTTCTTTACACGATTAGGCCTTAAATCAAGAAGCGCGACTGCCGGCCTGCCCGTAGTTTGTTGTTGTTCTGTTGCAAAAAGGTAGACACATCCTGTGACCCAGAGTGAGTGAACGAGGACGCGTATTTCCTCCAGAGCATTACTACCGAGGGGTGTGTACGAAAGAAGATTACATGCTTCTCATCTTGTCATCATCAGCTTGACAAAAGTCACAAGGAGGGGAAGATCTGGGATTCCCAGTTGCTGTCTCATAACAGAGTGTGTGAAGTCTGAGTCTAACCGAGCCATGCTGTAAACAACACCCTGGAGGAGCGCCATATCATTGCAGGCAGAATGTTACAAAAGCCCTCAGCAAATGCCCTGTAGGGGCAGGCCTAGTATACACAGACATAGGAAGCAATTTTAAGCTTGCTCAACACAACCTCCAACTCCCTACACATGCCTCAAACGGAACTCTACCTGCCTGCTTCTTTCCTCGCAACCTTTTAGAGAGGAAAATACTCAACTCCAGTCGACTAGATGCTGTTCTGATCACCCCTTTCAATGCCAAACATACTTCTAATGGTGTTTCTCCTACCCATTCCCATCAAGTTTTGCACAGCTCCTCACAGAGGACCATTAGAACTATAGCCGCATGAGGCAACCCCATAAACTTTATGCGAATGAACGCCATGTGCACCTGATAGAGATCAAGTTCTGTGAAGACACAAGGCTGGAGCATCAGTTGAACGCAGCAAAGCAGCAACATGCAGACCTTTGTAAACTTATTAACGCTAAAGCTGTTACAATTCACCCTATCCTCCTGGGTGTAGGTGGAACTATTTACACTGAGCATACCCTGAAGCAATTCAAACAACTAGGATTGGATCACCAGCGTGCCACGAAGCTTGCTCAACAACTTCATGCCCATTCTGTTCAATATGCCCACAAACTAATCACCACACGCCGCGCTATTGAAAACAAGAATACTTCCCACAGCCAGGTTCTAGAATCAGGTGTTTCTAGTAACCCTCCGGATCCACATTAGCATTCTCTTTTTCATACCTTGTGGTGGAGGGGGCACATGGCTCTTTTTTGAGCCTATGTGTCTCCTCTTCCTTAATCGATGTAGGGAAAGTTTCTCTGCCTGCGTAGTCTTTCTTTTCTTTTCTTTTCTTTTCTTTTCTTTTCTTTTGGGGGAGGTCAAGAAAATGCATTTAGGAGGGCTGGAATGTGCAGCCAAGGCCCTATTTGCAGGCGGGGCGCACCACTGATGATTCGTCAGGTGTTTCCTGTTGCATTCTCTGAAGTGTGAGTATGAGAATTGTGAGTGCCTCACCATGAGGTCCACTACAAAACGGCTGGGATGAATTGGTCCACAATTTAGCGGCTTTTGCCTGAAAATGCGAGAATGAGTCAAACCATTCACGGCTGAGAGAGAAGTGAGATGCCCAACACACCAGGAGGGGGTAGTATCCTATCCCCTCAAATCCTCTTCAATAATTTTAACAGCCATAATGATTTTTGTATGCGGTTGTCCATCTCTTTGCCTTGCCTCGATGAGAGGAGTAGTCCAAACATGACTCGTTGACATACCAGCAGGAATTGCACAAGTCTTGAGGAGCAAAAAGCGAGCGTGTAACGTGTCGGCAATATCATGGACAAACTTTTGACTCCACACATCATCCGCAAGATATGAATCCCAGAGATTCATATCTCATTGAGCTAAAATTTTGCTCTGACACCAAGCCTGAAAGCTCCCCTCACTGCACAAAATCACAAAAACACCATTGAGAACCTACGCACCAAGATTCTTCAGGGCAGACACCGCAATAACAGAGTCACACTGCACACCATACTAATTGGGGTTGCTGAAATTACCCACAATCCACACACATTTTGATCCCAGTAAGAACACAATAACCAACCCCTGCTCCAGACTTATCAATGCCTATCCCCACCTCTATTTGAACCTTTAAACCATACCTTGCGATAAAATCAGGTAGAGTGCCCCTAAATCCTGCCCCAACCGAGAGATACCTCTACCTCAGCATCCTGAGACCTTCGAATCCTTGCTGTTTGGAGCACTGCAGCTCGAGTCCATCTCAACAACCATGACAAAGACTGGCTACAAGGCCTGATAAGAAAAGAAAAAGAAAGGTCTACGCAGCCAACAGGCCGCGTGCATTAAGGGAAGAACCCCTAACAAAAGTTAGAGGCCTCACCAGGGTCCCTCCACCTAAACTAGGCAAAACTAGCTAAGGAGAGAGCAAGAAGCAGAGCTAATGGGGATCCGGGGGATTGGCTGCCATGCCCCTGAGCGCTCAGACCCTCCTTCTTCCATCCTCAGCCGCTGCCGCGCGCCCAGCAAGCCCCCTCCCAGATGCCCCCTGAAAACAAAGTGCATGTCTAGTGTTAATGATGTTGGATAATCTTTGGATGGCATGGTCCCTGAGTTGAGAAGCTAGTGATTCAGCTTTTTGTTTGGTCAGGCCCAGATTTATGAGAGGTGTGATTGTATAATTGTTATAAATCGTGCCACCAACACCAATTAAGATGATATGCAAAGTCACTTTGTTATTCTTGTTTAAGTTTCTTAAGCTGCGTGTTTTATGTCTGCTTATGATGTGGGAATGTTGAGTTTGTGCACGTTCTAAGGTGCTGACAGGATTAGTGTCGGAGCAGAATTCAAGTTCAACAAGGTGGATATCTCTATCTTGTGGTGGAATCTTGGTAGGGTTGAGGTGGGCTTTTCTACCCGGGATGTGCCGCACAAATAGAGCATCAGGGCGGCTTGTGTGTCGTACAGGAGGGGCAGCGCCGTGAGGGAAAACCCTGTCTGGGATAGCTCGAGAGGTGTTTTCAGGGACTTGTATGCCTTGATCTATAAGTCTGTCGTGATTGCAACCATCCATGCTAATGAGGGATGAGCCATTGCGGCCTTTGCTGGGGGCTTCTATACAGAGACTCGGGGCCGCATGGTGTCTGTTGGTGTGCATCCCACTCATTGTTGGGTTGGTACACCTAAGCAGAACATGATAAATGTTATCTGTATTTGCACAAAGTGGGCACCTATCAGAACTTGAAAAGTTAAATTTGGAGGCATGGCCCTGTGTATACACTGTATTCGTTTGATATTTCATGAGATTTATTTGATGTTTAAGGGTGATCTTTGGATTTTTCCAGAATGCTAATTTCCTTGTTTGCAAGCTGAGAGATTGGGTGGTAGCCTACATTGTTTGTGTTTTTGGTGGATGGTGTGGCTTCGTTAAGCTTTTGCCATCTCTGGTAGTGGTAGCCTGAGGTGTCAGCACAACCAAGTTTATGTTTCTTGTGCATGTGTGTTTTAAGTGTGTTGCTCATGTTGGTGAGATAGTGCATCGGGAAAGTGTGGGTGCGGTGTCTGCCATCATTTGTGTGGAAGTTGTCTTCAATGAAAGCCAATAGAAGTTGTGGAAGGGGTCCCTGGCATCCGGGAGCGTGATGTCTGCTGTGTCAAAGAGGGCTGCAGTGCGAGCGCAAGCGTCAGCCCCCTCATTTCTTATGATGCCAGAATGGGCTTTGACTTTATAAAGATTGATAGGGTGAGGGGAGTGCTCTATTATGG